ATGTATATATAATGTACTTTCTTTGTACTAAATTGTTTTACATCAATATATTTTCATTTTTTTTAGTTGATTCATCTAAGATATTATAAGAAAACTCAATGAATTACAATTATAATAAAAATCAAATACAACTTTACAAAGAAACTTCTTAATGCTGTGTTTGGTTGGGGTTTTTGGGGTGAGATTTGGAAAAGGAATGAGAAATGTAATCCTATTTATGTTTGGTTATAATAAAAAATATATGGGAAAAGAAAGGGGGTGAGAAATAAATAAAGAAATTGGAGACCTTTTACGACATCAATTCTATTTTATAACCAACACAACCAAACATAGTTGGGATTTGGAATTCTATTAATTCTTTCTCCTTTTCCTTTCATTTCCATTTCCCTTTCCATTTCCTTTCCCAAATCTCCCAACCAAACACAGCGTAAATGGGAGAGAAATTCCAAGTTAATACATGGGAATAAGTCCTACACGGAAGTAGAGAAGTTCAAATTACTGACCTCCTAATAATGAGATGCAAGAGTTTTGGCTAATTAGACTAATATTTTAAATTTTGTTGATGAAAGAAAAAGATCTCTTTTTTTCTTTTCTTTTTTTATCAAGCATAGGTTAATCAGGAAACTAAAAAACTTTCCTCATATTTTTAGTTGCAAGTTCTAATGCATGCAAAATCAGTACCCAATATTTCTCAAGGCTATACCTAGATTGACAAGATTGTTTGGTGAAGTTTTCAAAATCTATTTTTGAATTTTTTTTTAAAACTAGTTTGGTGAAAAAAAAAAAAAAATCACTATTTTACAATTTCCCTTTTTTTTTTTTTTGGGGGGGGGGGGGAATGATTTCAGAAAATTCAAAAATAATGTTTTTGATATTTATTTTCGTCAAACTAGATTGTAATTTTTTGAATTAAAAAAAGGGACACTTTTTCAAAAATCATTTTTCACCTACTTATGTTTCATTTAGTTCACATTATTTTCTTGTATTCCAATAAATACTATGGGTGACATAGTTACCAAAATACCCCTAATAATATTCATATTTACAATACGAATGTTCCATAATGTGAATATTTACACCGTCAATGTGAATGTTCACACCATCAATGTGACTGTTGATATGTCAATTTGAATATTTATATTGTCAATGTGAATGTTCATACTATCAATGTGAATATTCACATTATAAAATATGAATGTTCACATTATCAAATTACTAACTGTTCAAAAAATATTTGTAAAGGTAGAAATATCGATAAAATATCTTAAATATGAGAATTATGATTTAGTAGATCAAATGTTCAAATAATATGATTTATTGGAATATAAGAATATCTTATAGACTAATTGAGATACAAACACTTGAAAAATGATTTTCTAATAAATCTCCCTTAAAAAAAAAAAAAAATTCTGAGAATTTAAAAGATGCATGAATTTTGGCCAATTGAACCAAAATGAAATATAATCACTGAGGAAGTACATAGAAAATAAATAAAAGCTATGAAATGTTGGAAAACACCCATATTGTGAATACAAAAAAATTGTTCGTTTCAAGACATCTTTCTCCCCAAATTAAAACTGGAAGAAATATTATGTGAAACTCTTTATTAAGTACTTAATGTTTTTTGTTTTTTTCACTACAGGAAAATGAGGATTTAACGGCGTTTAATTAACGACGTTTAGTTAAACGTCACTTTTTTTGATAATTAACGGCGTTTTTTAAACGTCGCCTTTTTTGTTAGGTAAAACGACGCCGTTTCGTAAATAGAAGACGTTTAAAAAACGCCTCCAAATCCTGTCTCTCTTCACACCCTCTTCCCTGTCTCTCTTCACACCCTCTTCTATCTCTCTTTTATTTTTATTTTGAAAACCCTATTTTGAGCACTGCCGTCTCCTTCTCACTCACTCTTTGCTCTCTCTCTCATTCAAATCTCTCTCGATTCTACTTCGATTCTTCTTCAGTTCGGTGATTCATCTCGGGATTGCGATTTTGAAGTTCGATTTTGAGCATAGATCGGTGATTCATCTCCGTGGATTTGGAGCTCTTAGTCTTCTTCGATCAGAGGTTAGTTGCTCTCTCTTTCTCTCACTCAAATCTCTCTCGATTCTTCTTCAGTTCAGTGATTGTTCTTCGATTCTTCTTCAGTTCAGTGATTGATATAGTGTGTTATCGTAGATTTGGGCACAATGAGATGGATGAGCTGTCTTTCACACAGCCACATATGTACAAGGTTAGCCTTATTATATATTTAGTTTTCTAGACTTTACCGCTCTTGTTGAATTGGGGTTGCAAGCTTAATTTTTCTTACTTTCGGATTTGTTTCTGGTTATGACACTACATCTATTATTAACATCTATTTGAATTTAGTGAGTAATTTTTTTTATATTTGTGATGTGGAATGGGTGCTGATAGGTCATCCGGAATCACCCCTCAGCACTTGAGATTTATGAAAAAAAACTTTTAAAATCTGGTGAGGTGATGAAGGAAGACATATCACCCTTTGAATCTGTGTGATGTGTCTGTGCATCCTCTATTATTTTAGCTATTATATCAATTTGTCCTGTAACATATATTACAGATCAGATTCATTCGAGTTGAGAGTGATTAGGAAAATGATGCTCTGCTCCTTATTCACTTCTTGTTTGTCAAATGAGCTCCAAAAAGCTGAGCCTGTGGTTGGTTGAATAATGGCAAGGTGAGCCTCCAAACTGGCTCTGTATACAGCACTTGGCAGAGTTATAAATGTACTGTGTTAATATGTGTGTTTAATTTTCAGTACTGTGTCAAGAAGTAAATGCCATGCTTTAGTTGTCAGCTTGACCATATAATATTGATTGGTTTTAGAGCTATCCTCTCATTTTTACCATTTTAGTAACGATCTGTTTACTTGCCTGTGCAGTGTTTGCCCGTAACCATTGATGTGGGGACAAACAATGAGCAGTTGTTGAAAGATGAATTCTACATTGGGCTCAGACAAAGGAGGGCAACTGGGAAGGTCTAATAGTTTTAGCATTTTATTGTGTTTAGTTACAAGCATTAAGATACATTATGTAATTCTCTTTAATACTGAGGCAGTTTTGTCAAATTGTATTCCAGGAATATTATGACCTTCATGAATTCATGACTGCTGTCAAGCAGAACTATGGTGAAAAAGTACTCATACAGGTGGATTTGCATCCTAATATTGGTTTGATTTGCTACCAATGCTTTACAGTTTCAAGATTTTGCAAACCACAATGCTTTTGAGCTGCTAGCGAAATATAGTACTACTCATCTTGTCTTCAATGATGATATACAGGTATGTGATAATATGGTCGTCGTTCAAATAACCTTGAGGAATCCCATGTTGTCTTAACTTCTTTTTTTCCCACTTTTGCAGGGGACAGCAGCTGTGGTTCTTGCAGGGCTTGTTGCGGCACTGAAGTTACTTGGTGGATCCTTGGCCGAGCAGACATTTTTATTCCTTGGTGCTGGGGAAGTGAACTCTAATCTGTCTTCCTTCTTTTACACTATAAACCTATTTTCCTCTAGGGGCCACTGGACAGAATTCCATCTCTTTACTCAAAAATGTCTCTCACTTCTAGTTTCTTCCAGTTGTTTTCAGCACTCCTGATTCTGATATAGTTTTGCATTCACTAAAAAACATGAAAAATAGGGAGAGAAACCGAAAGAAAAAAAGAAGAGTATTCTAGGGAAATGTGTGTGTTTGTTCGTTTCTTGCCTTTCCATTTCGTTCTTTACCATGTTTGTGTAGCAAAGCTACTCATCAATTATGTTCTTGAATGATGCTCAGGTAACCTTGATGCTATTATATATTAATCTTTGTCTGGCCAGTAAAGGTACCATGAGAATGATGCACTTCTTTAGTAGTGTTTAGGAGATTGCTAAATCCACACCTCTATCTGTTACTCATTTCATTTGCTGGGTAGTATGACTAGATTTCCAGTTCAATAATTGCAAAACTTATAAATGTAAACAATGGCATATTACTTGTAATCACACGATGAATATAAGTAATTCATGTTCAACTTTTTTCAAGTTTCGCTCATTAACGGCTCATGTGCAGGTGGTTTGGTTGAAGGTCGAGTTGTGCAGGTTGCTCGAGGAGAAGAGATCTGGTACACCAAGGTTAGTACTTGCTGTGTGGTGTCTAGTATCTGCATCTTTCCGAGAATTTTTCATGCTTCCAGTTAGGCCCATATTATTAGGTTGAAGATAAGACAGTGATTATGATAAGATAAACAAATACATGAGTAGTTAATTAGGCAAGGTGATCAACCCAGTGTCATTAGAAGCCTGGTATGCATTGCATGATTAATGTGTCCAGCTGCTTTTGTGTTGTCTATGTATGTGTTGAAGTTCTCAAGGGTTCCTTCATTAGAGCAAATTGTTTATTTAACCTGTTTTGTGCTAATAATCTATGTTATCATTTAACATTAGCAGTCATATATCCATGTGTATGCTTTTGTGAGGGCATTAATTTCTCATGGAAGGTAGTTAATCTTTAAATACAAAATTACTTCTTATTAGATGATCATCTGTTTTGCTCTGGGGCGTAAATAGTATTAATTTTCTTAATGTGCCTCATGAAAGCTACAGTAAATCCATAAGAGTGGTTCTTGTTCTTTATTAACTATTTAAAAATACTTTGTTAGAATCATCAGTAAGGTGCTGATCTTTATTAACTATTTAAAAATACTTGTAATAAGGATGTAAATTAAAGGAGTATGCACCTGCGATTCAAGATTATAATAATTTTTTGGCAAAGGCAATTGCAGGAGGGACTGGTCAGTTTGTTAAAGGGATCTTCAAATGCAGCAATGCTTACACCAACCAGGTTTGACAATTATCTTCCATTTTCATAGAATATTGACATTGTTCACATGACATTTGTTTTTGCTATTCTGTGTATAGATCTGGATTTCAGTTTCCTTGAGATGAATCCCTTTACCTTGGTGAATGGAGAGCCATACCCATTGGATATGAGGGCAGAGTTGGATACTTGACATTGTTATTTGTGAACAATTTGTGCTTTGCTTAGGGTTAGATAGTGTTTTCTTTTTCTTTAGATCTTTGTTTTGTTGATTTTCTTATCTTTGTAGTGCCTTTGTAATGTTATATTAAGTAATCTAATGCTGTATTAATGTTGATTTAGTATTGCTTTGTTAGATTTTTGATTTGTGATATGTACCTTTTTTGTTATCTCAGTTTTGTACAATTAGGGGTTTGATGTGAAGTATGCTTTAATTATTTTGAACTTTTTTGTTTCTTCCTTTTTTGGTCCTTTATGTTGATTGTACTTCAATCTATTATGGTTTGCTTCAAGCTGGTGGCGGCATTTGATTCTCTCTGAATAGTCTCTTGTTTCAAATGCAAGCTTTGTGCCATTTGATGCTTTCTTCAAAGCTATAGTCATATCATTTTGCTTTTCCTTAGCGTACTTCTTTAGATCTTCGCTCATTGCTTCAGTTAGATTCATTTCTCGGAACTTCATTTGCGTTTGAAGTAATCTGTTCAATTATGGTAATCATGTTTGATTGTTGATGCTAGTTAGATTACATACTTTGTTCTTTGTGGTATCATCATCATCATCATCATCATCATCATCATCAGGGTCCTTGTAAAGGATTTATTTATTTATTTATTTTTTATATATATTTATTTTATAAGAAGTTGTAGAGGATGTGATTGATTTCATCGTCAGTTATGGTAGTCTGTGCTTGTAATAATCATCCAATTTGGTTCACATTGTAGGAAATGACACCTGCTGTAATTGAGGGAAATGATCAAGTCACTGGTCACATTATTTCCACTACAATTGGTGGAAAAAATGGCGAGCCTAAACGGGTGAGGGCTACATTTATTTAATATTCCAGTTCTAGTGGCTATTATTGTTAAGTATGTAATAAGCCGCTTGTATTTTATTTTCTTTTGGGTGTACATAAACTATCCACTGTTAATTCTTGTAAAAGGTTTAATTTTATTAATAATTTATCTACTTCCTAGGGAATTTGTTGTTTTTGCAGAGTTACATGTCCTCTTTAGACCTAAGCATTGAGACATTGAAATTTTTTTTATGTAGTCTAAAGGTTGAACTTCTGAGGAGATTCACAAGTGAATGTCTTTTATTTTATTTTATTTTTGGGTAATTCCTCCAACTTGGGAAGCTAAGCTGTTGATGTATAATGCCTTTTGCAGACCATTAGTTACATGGCTGAGCGTGTAGTGGGTACTGGATCCTTTGGAATTGTTTTTCAGGTAATGTAATCTGAGTTTTATTTGAACTTCAGTAATTCCAGTATCGATGATGATTTAATATCACTTTCATTCAGGCAAAATGCTTGGAAACTGGAGAAACTATGGCCATAAAAAAGGTCTTGCAGGACAGGCGGTACAAAAATCGTTTGGTTTTTTATTTTTCTTATTTTTTCTTTTTTTCCTTGGATCTGATAGTGGGTGTTTTGGTTCACTTCTTATTTTTTGTATTAAATGGGGGAGTGGTGAGAGAGAGAGGAGGGTAATGTTATTTTGTGGCTTTGTATATAAGGTAGTAATTTTTTGATTGAGAATTGTGAATTCAATTTTTAAATATGTTATTTTGTGGGAAAATTAATGCTATATTAAATTGAATGGGAAAGTGAATTATCGTTATATTTGTTATTTGAATGTGAGTTATTATTTCATATTAGTGTTATTTAGTTTTATTATTGGTGTTCTTTTAGTTCAATCACATAAAATTTGCACAATTTCAAAACCAAAAAAAAAAAAAAAAAAAGAAAGATAAGACGGCGTTTTTAAAATGCCACTATAACGGTTGGAATTTTTAAAATTTTAAAAACCTATGAAGGCGTTTTAAAAACGTCGCTAAAATCATAGTGACGTCACAGTATTGTTAGGGTATGACATTTGGCGGCGTTTTTAAAAACGTCACCTATACTAATATAGCGACGTTTTTCAAACGTCATAAAGTTATAGCGACGGCCGCGTCGTCGGCGTTTGGTACTAAACGTCACAAAAAGAATTAGCGACGTTTTTGATACTTATAGCGGCGTTTTTTAAACGCCGCTAAAAGCCTAATTTCCAACAGTGTTTGTTTTGTTTTGTTTTGTTTTGTTTTCCTCCTTTTCAATGCGGGATAAGTTCTTGAAGTTTATTTCAAGTTTTCTTAATGCAAACGAGGAAAGTTTTTGAAAAATCCAAAAATTAACCCATTTAAATTTTAGAAAATTCCCAAACATGAACTAGATTCAATTTTAAGCCTCGTTTGGCAATCTTTAGTTTTAGTCAAAAAGTTAAAAAATCACTATAAATTATCACATCACTCTGTCTACTTTTTTGTACACCTTTTCGTAAAAAGTTAAAAAATTACTAAAATAGTATGTTCTCAAATGAGGCCTTAGTGTGGTTCTCATCATATCAATTTTATATCTAAACTATATATCCCATTTTTTGGGTGCATAGCATTTCTATATTTCATGTGTAGAGTTTCCAAAGTAGCATAAGTACCAAACTAAGCAAACCATCATTCTATGTCAATAACTATATATACTTAGTCAAATTAAACAAATTTATATATTTTTTTACTTTGCATCTCATATCAATTTAAGTTATTTCATCTCTTTATTATTTCTATTTATGATAATCATGTGCATATTTTTTTACCATTACTTCTATATGTAGGTATGTGTTGATTTCATCAATAAAGTTCTTTTTATTGATTCAAAAAAAAAAAAAAAACCGAAATAGATTAAAAATTCCATCATGATAAAGAGTGTCCAGTGAGAATTATACGGAGGAGAGCAATGTAGTGAAAATTAAATTTGTGTAGTGTGAAATTCATATGTACAATAAATCTGAACCACAAACACAACATGCTATTAGAAAAAATGGTAGAGGAGCAAGGAGGGTGGATTCCTGTGGTGAAGCAGAGGCAAGGTAGAGGAGCATAGAGCAAAAGTTCAACAAAGGGCTGGTTTATTGTGTTCGTGGACAATTTTTTGTTTTTTGATCAGCAAAAGAAAATTTGTTGATGAAAATCAAATATGCATAATACAAAGATAAACATCAATAAAGAGAGGCGAGTGCCAAAGCTTACTGTGTTCGTGTTCGTCGACAATATACCACACTCATTGGAACCTAAAGGTTTGTTAAAACTTTTCACTAAGTTTGGAATAGCCAAGGATGTCTTTATTCCACAAAAGAGAGAAAAGTAACAAACACAAGGTTCGGATTTGTGAGATTCGATTGCTCGGTTGTAACAAGCATAGTAGTTCAGAAAGAAAATGGGTTATGGGTGGAGGATAAGGCAATCAAAGTCAAATATGCTGAGTATGATAGAGAACAAAACAGAAGCAAACCTCAATCCAACCCTACCAGAAGAGATCCTTTAGATAAAGGAAGAGATGGAGCAACCCAGGTCCAACGTAATGGAGGAGATTACATCCGTAAATCCTTTACTGATGCACTACAAACAAGTGTAGGTATAACACAAGGTAAAACTTGCATTACCATTAAAATGAATGAAGATGGCTATGGGTGGCTGTATGAAAGTGTACTAGTAAGACTAAAAAATGAGTACACTTTGTCCAGCATTAAGAAAGTACTAAAAGATAAAAGGGTTGGGCCATACTCTTGTCAGAAATGGAGGAGGGAGGGATGTAGTCCTAACATTCAAGTCCAAAGAGGAGATAAAATCAAATTTCAGATTAGTAAATGAATGGCTGAAAAAGTGGTGTAAATTTGTTACAGAGTGGAATCCAGACATGCACTTAGAACATGAGAGATACGTTCACCAAATTAGGAGGAATTTGGGGAAATGTCCTTAATATTGATGAAAATATTTGCCAACCAGTATCATTCTGCTATGGTAGAGTTAGAATTGCAACTAAATGCATAGAATGGATTAATAAAGAAATCAATCTGGAGTGCAAGGGCATAATTGTTTTAGTTTTGGTCTGTGAAGAACAAATTAATGCCGTGAGTGATCACAACTTATCCTCTGATATTGAGGAAGATTGCAGATCCATGAGATAGCCATAGAAGAGCATGAAGAACCTATAAGGCATGGGGAAGATGAAGGTGAACTGGCAAAGAGAGTAGAAATGGATGAAGTTGAGCTGGCATCTTCTGATGATGTGGACAAGGCAGCTGAAGAATCAAAAGAAAAGCATCACTGTGATAGAGATGAAGTGGATACGGTAATTGAAGAGATAAGAGATGGCATTGGGAGCAGCTTTGAGGATGATGCATGCATGGCAAACCCAATAAAAGAAAAGGTGGCTGAACTCAGAAAAGTTGCTAATAATGACAATCAGAGGTTAGAAAGCCATCTGTACACGCCTGGATTTATTAAGAGCCTTAGCACATCTATTGGGCTTAAGCTTGGCATAAATTTGGAGATTGAGTTGGGCCATATTCTCCATGAGCATGGCCCACCAGATATAATCCTTAACAGAATTGTTGTTACTGGCTCTGCCAGTTATGGATCATTTGGGCCCATAAGAAACAAGTCAAACTCAGACGCATCCCATAACAAAGGGGCTCAACTTGGGAAGTATAGGCCCAAATCTAAAGTCAAATTAAAAGGGAACAAGAAAGGAAAGTCTAGAGACCTATCACAGTCTGAAATTATATCCAGCTAAGTCAGACTCCATGAGCATAAATGAGCCTCTTATAATAAGCTTTCTCCAAAAAGAGCCATTTTCAGAGCAGCTGTTGCAACTATATCACTTTCAGCTTCATTTGAGAATGGTGATAGAAGGGGTAGATATGTCCTAAACGAAGCTCAAGCTACAATGTAGATGGGGAAAGTTCTAGGGCTCAACGTCAAAGGAAAGAAATCTGATACACTTGACAAAATTGTTGAATTAGAGCTCAAAGACAAAGAAAGAAATGGGGGAGAGGAGAATGAAAGACAGTAAACAGATTCAAACCAAGTGAATTTTGGTGTTCAACCTTTGCTATTAATGAATCTATTGTCATGGAATATTAGAGGCTTGGGAAAAGCTGGAAAAAAAGAAAAAGAAAAAAAAAAAGAAAGAGTGAGGAAACTAATTAGGGAGAGGCAAATGGAAATAGCATTTTTTCAAGAAACCAAAAAAATTCAATTTCGAAGAATGAAGTTAGATTCCTATGGTCAAGGAGAAGTATGGATTATATGTCAATTGATTCAGAAAGATCTACTGGAGGCCTACTGTGCATTTGGAACCCAGAGATCTTTAAGTTATATGGTTGCTACAGCAATAGGAGATTCATTCTCCTCTCAAGTACACGTCTTAATTCTTTTGAATGCGTATTATTGAATGTATAGTAGAAACATATTGTGGGAAAGTCTTGTTAGGCTAAAGAGTATCTTCTCTAATCCATGGTGTAAGGGAGGAGATTTCAATGAGATAAGAAATATTGGAGAAATGATTGGCTGCTCTAGAAAGGACAAAAGGATGAGAGAGCTTAATGAATTCATAGACAAATATGAGTCAACTGACTTACCATTGCTTGGAAGGAAATACACCTGGTGTAAGGCAGAAGAAAATGAGAAGTGGAGTAGGATTAATAGAATTATGCTTAGTCCTAAATGGCTAATCAAATTCAAATTGAAGTTATGGGGCTTACCTAGATTACTCTCTGATCATTGCCCTCTTTTGATAAGGGATGATGAGAAAGACATTCAGGTTTATCAATACCTGGACTTTACACCCCAATTTTCCCTCTTTTTTGGAAAGCACTTAGAAGGAAGCTACGATCAGTAGCGGACATAAGCATAATCTTTTGCAGAAGCTAAAGTTGCTAAAACTAGCTCTCAAGAAGTGGAATTGTGATGTTTTTGGTAACATCTCAACTAAACTGAAAGCAGCTGAGGTAGAATTACATGATCTTGACATATCTGCTGAAGAAAGACCATTGATTGAATCAGAAAGAGATAGAAGGAGGGTATTAAGGGTGAAGTATGGAAGCTAAGCAAAATGATGGAATGGTTGTGGCAACAGAAATCTAGAGTTAATTGGACTCTTAATGGGGGCAAAAACACTACGTTCTTCTATGTAATGGCCAACTATAGGCAATACAAAAATGTCATCAATTCTATCTTTGTAAATTGAGTGATTCATAAAGAACTTGATAAGATTAAGCATGAGGCTCTTTTATACTTTGAGGAACAATTCACAGAAGACTGGGCAAATAGGCCATCTTTGGGTGGTATGTTCAAATTAGTGCAAGTGAACCATTTTTTCCATGAGCTAGAAACAAAGTTCTCTGAAGCTAAAATTAAGGCAGCCATTAAGGAGTGCAATGGTAATAAAACACCAGGCCTAGATGGTTTTAACCTGCCATGCTTCCAGAAATATTGGAAGGTTATAAAAAAGGAGATTCTCATGTTCATAAGAGACTTTCACACACATTGTAAGCTTACATATGGGATCAATAGTTCCTTCATCACTCTTATCCCCAAAAATGAAAATCCTGTGGAACTGGGAAACTATAGACCTATTAGTTTGGTGGGCTCCATTTACAAAATCCTTTCAAAAGTCCTAGCTCATAGGCAGAAAAAAGTTATTCTTGAAGTAATAGGGGATACTCAATCTGCTTTTCTTGGAAAAATGAACATTTTAGATGGTGTACTCATTGCCAATGATGTTATGGATAGTTGGAAAAAATCTAAGAAAAAAATATATCATCATCAAACTTGACTTTGAAAAAGCATTTGATTCAATTAATTGAAACTTCTTATTTTCTATGTTCTCTAACTTTGGTTTTGGTCCAAAATGGATTGCTTGGATGAAAGAATGTAACTCCTCAACAAGGCTTCTTGTACTAGTCAATGGATCACCAACTGCAGAATTTTCTTCACAAAGAGGTTTGAGGCAGGGTGATCCCCTTTCACCATTTCTGTTCAACTTAGTAGTAGAAGGACTCAACATAGTTATGACTAGAACTTATGAGATGACTCTTATTAAGGGTGTGAAAATTGGGAGGAATGAAGTAATTATTTCCCACCTTCAATTTGTTGATGACTCAGTTATTTTCTGTGAAGCTGATAGGGAGCAATTAGTGAACATTAAAAGGGTGTTAAGATGCTTTGAGCTACTCTCTGGACTGAGAATAAACTACTACAAAAGTGTATTATGTGGAATTGGTGTTGATGATGGGATCTTATCATCCTTTGCTGATCTTCTTAATTGTAAAGTAGAAGACCTGCCAATAAAATTCCTAGGTCTACCTCTTGGTGCCAATCCTGGAAGGAAGTCCACCTGGAAACCTGTATTAGACAAAGTCAAATCAAGATTAGCAGGTTGAAAGAGAGGACTCCTAGCCTTTGCAAGTAGACTTATCTTAATCAAATTAGTGGTATCTAATCTCCCTCTCTATTACTTGTCCCTATTCAAAATGCCTATGGGGGTGGCCAAAGAGTTTGAGAAAATTGAAACAAATTTCCTATGGAGAAATACTGATCTAAAGAAGAAAATCCATATGGTGAAATGGGCAGAAGTTATAAAAAACACAAGTCTTGGAGGCTTAGGAATAAAAAGAATCACTGATGTCAATGCTAGCCTTTTACTAAAATGGTGGTGGAAGTTTGGAAGTGAGTTCACTGATTTTTCAAGAAAGGTCCTCTGTAGCAAATACTTGATTAATGAAGATAGGTAACAACCAATCTTGAGGACTTCTTGCAATTATTTTAGGGTGTGGATTGATATCGTCTCTCTTGCCATTCGCAGGCAGCCCTTTCGCAACTTCTTTTTGGACAACTTTCTCATTAAGGTTGGTGATGGAAAAGAGTCATATTTTGGTTTGGTAAATGGTGTGAAAACATCTATCTAAAAGATGAACTCCCAAGTCTTTTCAGATTATCAACTAATAAGGAAGGCACGCTACTTTTGTTTTATGAAAGAAGATCAAGTTCAGGGGATTGAAATTTACTTTTCAAGAGCTCCATATGAGTGGAAAGATGTAGAGATTATTAGACTGTCAAGTGCATTATCTTTAACCCCCTTACTTAGGATTGGGGTGACTAACAGCCCTGTCTGACTTGATTCAAATTCAGGTATTTACAAAGCTGTTGATGTGTATAATTTTTTTACTGCTTCTCTTGGCCACTGTCTCATTATCTGCAAATTCATTTGGAATAAAGATATCCCTCCCAAAATTCAATTCTCCAGCTGGTTGGTATGGAAAGATAGAATTAAATCAGGTGTTTTCCTTTAGAAAATTGGGATCCTTGGTATTAATGCTTCCACTCAGTGTGCTTTCTGCAGAACAGAAACTGAATCAACTACTCATTTACTACTATGCTGCCCATTTTCTTGGAATGTATGGGCAAAAATGATACAGTTGTGGGGGTTTCAATGGGTGATACCAAGTTCGGTTGATAGTTTATTTCATTGGTGGATGGGTGGCAAGTTTAAAAGAATGGAAACAAGGATGTGAAAAGCTCTACCATTAATTGTTCTTTGCTCACTCTAGAAACAGAGGAGTGAGTGCATTTTCAATGGAGTGCAGCCTAATTGCTTTGAGTTGAGTGAGCTAATAAAGCTTAGGTTTGCATTATGGATCAAAGCCTCAATAAAAGACTTCCTTTACTTAGTGAATGACTTATTATTCAATCTCAGACATGTACGACTTTGCCTTTGAGAGTGGCATTATTACTTGCTTGCTGGTACTTGGTTACTATCCTTTTTCCATTTTTGTATTTTGTTTTGCTTTGGCATAGTTGGTTCCTCACCATCCTGGGTTGGAGCTAGCATATGATTGAGTTTTTTTCTCGGTACCAACCTAATTGGAATCGTCTAGCTTAACTATGATGCTTTTTGCTCTTCCTGCTCTATTGCTTGTGGTGTATTTCGTACTTTCCCTTTTAAATAAAGATTCCTATTTTGTTGATCAAAATAAATAAATAAATAAAAATATAAATAATAAAACAGAAAAGAGCAAATTTGTTTAAAACCATTCACATTTATACTCTTAAAATCCATTCCAATATTTATAGTATACTTGATAATTAAAATCTCTATACAATATTCAAATAATTTGAAAGAGAATTAGAGGAGAAAATCTAATCTCTCATATACGAAATGACTAGATTACAAAATTATATATAAAGCTCCGAAAATAATTATTGACATTCTAACATTAAAGATTTGTCATCACAATATTATGACATTATTCCACTATTTTGTAAAAACCAAAATGATAACATCTGATCCAAAACAAAAAACGTATATCCCACCAATGCCATTACACGAATGAACTAATATTGTAGGAAAAATATAAACTCCCAGATAATAAAAACACAGGTTTATTATTGTCAACACTCTTGGTACCACTGAAGCTTGCACAAATTCATAGCAACAATGCATACAATGCACACAGACATTGGACTTTCTCAAACTTTGACCTAGTTTGTTCGCACATCTGAAAAACATTGGTCACACTATCTTAATATTCTTAAATAACTGATTACTAGTTAAGAAAGCAGAAAAAAAAAAAAATGCTCACAACCATTTTTTTTTTATCAGCATATGCTCACAACCATTCTTAACACGACACCCCACACACTGATGAGTAGAGAGACAACAACAATTAACTACCTACAAATTAGACAATCAACCATCAACAATAAACTGATTCAACAGCCACTCTCTCTCTCTCTCTCTCTCTCTCTCTCTTCATGGTGATTTCGGTGGAGGATTGTGGCGGGGATTAGCTCCAGGCGGTGCATAATCATTTAGCTGCAGTTCCATCCTCCGAATATTCCCTCCTGCCTCCAAGCTTTCTTCTGCATTTTCCTTAGTATCCAAAAAAAAAAAAAAAAAAAAAAAGTGTTAGTAGTACAAACATATTAGTATATATCCATACATAAAATGACAATTGTGGTGTTTGAAAACATGATTTTTTTTTTCTTCTTCTTTTTACAATCAGATGTCCGGATTAGTTTGCACGTACCTTGACTATGATAAGCAAAGAATAACTTTTTTTGATAAATCCAAGAGTACAAGAGGATTAATTTGAGATTACATCAATAAAAGGAGAGAAAAGACAAGAAAATGTAAAATAAATGAATCATAGTTAAACATGAAGATCCAATTATGGAGTTTGAAAACATGAGTTTATTTTTTTTATTATTTCTATATGCAAAGAAGAACTTATTTCATGAATTGAAAAGAGTACAAGAGGATTACACTGAGATCACATCAATAAAATGTGAGCAAAGATAAGGAAATCTATATATACTATTTTCAAGCCAAATGATCAAAGAGAGCTCATACGCCATGGAAAATATGAAACAAAAAGAAATATATGGAGAATTAGTATGGATCTACCAACTACAACATGAAATACATGGATTAAATCAAATTAAAACCCTAGCATGACATTTACATACAAATAAAGTAGAAATCCATACTTGTTTTGAAGATCCAAGAAAGAAAATGGAGAGAAGAGATGGAGAGACGAATATCTAAGTTAACCAAGCTCCAAGTATGTCATCCAAGGCTTCAAGAATACCCAAGAACACACAAAAATCTTACTCTCAAAGCCTAGCATGATATCTACATAAGTAAAAATCCCTACTCGTTTTGAAGATCTAAGAAAGAAAATGGAGAGAACAAATGGAGAGTTGAAGATCTAAGCCGACCAAGCTTCAAGCATGTCATCCAAGGCTTCAAGAACACCCAAGAATGCACTAAATCTTAGTCTCAAGCCCTAGAATGACATCTACATAAAAATAAAACAGAAATCTTTATTGTTTTGAAGATCTAAGAAAGAACACCCAAGAACACACAAAAATCTCACTCTCAAGCCCTAGCATGACATCCACATACAAATAAAGTAAAAATCCCTACTTGTTTCAAAAATCAAAGAAGGAAAATGGAGAGATGAATATCTAATCCAACCAAGCTCCAAGCAAGTCAATCGAGGCTTCAAGAACACCCAAGAATGCACTAAAATCTAACTCTCACGCCCTAGCATGACATCTACATACAAATAAATTAGAAAACTCTACTTGTTTTGAAGATCCAAGAAAGAAAATAGAGGGAGGACATAGAGACATGAAGATCTAAGCCAACCAAGCTCTAACCAAGCCATCCAAGGCTTCAAGAACACCCAAAAACACACACACACGCACACAAAAAAAAACTGACTGTCAAACTCACAAAGCTCACTAGATATACTCAATAGAGCACTTCAATCAACAACCAAACCCTAGATCTTATAATGGAAGATCAAGGTTAGGTCACAGTGCTCAACAAAGAAGAGGGAGGAAGAAAATCAAAGAAAGGGAGAAGAATATGGAGTCACAAGATGAAGTACCGATTATGGTGTTTGAAAACATGAATTATTATTATTAATTTTTTGACTAGCAAAAATAAGAGGATTACACTGAGATTACACCAACAAAAGGAGAGCAAAATAAGAAAATATAAATAAATGAAACTTAGTTAAACCTGAAACATGGTTTAAAAGAATGAATTAAACATGAATTAATTCATGGTTAGCTTTGGAGGAACATCAAGATTGTGAAGTACCATGTGGGAATTCTCTGAAACTCGATAAGTGTCAGATTCAAGCATTATATTTATTGTTCCTGCACACAAAAATGAATTAATACATATTCATCATCATCATCAAGAAGAAGAAGGAGAGAGAGAGAGAGAAAGAGAGAGAGATTGATGAACGTTTACTTGTAGTT